AATTTCAATGGAAAATTCTTAAGGTAAATAATATGAATAACATTAGCCATTCATATATATGTATATGTATATATATATATATATACATATATATATATATATATATATATATATATATAGAAAATAAGAATAATCAATAGCCTTGGAATTTACTAAAATATGACCTTCATTATTGTTACTAGAAAAGTTCAGAATATTTTTTTTTTGAAGAATTTAAGAGTACAAAAAAAAAAAAAAAACAAATATTATTGGACTAAATATTAAAATGCTTAAAAAATTTTCCATGTACTTACATACATAATATATATGTGCATAAATCTGTACGTGCATTACGTATTTTTATACTATTAATACTTACATATATACAAGTATTGTGTTTGCACTAGTAAAAATTTTATTGTTGGCATTGAAGTTTGACACCGGTTTAAAATGCAACATGACTAGATTGTTTTCATTATATTATGCACATATTATAAAATTTAACATAACATACGTCAATATATATACACTACATATACATTTGTATCACTACTGTATTTTTGTTATAGTAAATTTTCATCTGTCACTGTATAGATTTTTAAATGCAAGGTCAAAAAGAAAAGTAGAAGAATGTTTTCATTTTAAGAAATCTAGCAAAAAGTTTTTTGTAATTTATTTAATTTAAATTTTGTTAATTATGATATTATAATATGGTATACATGAATTTAAGAATAAGTGTATATTTAAGTTATAATAATTATAAGGTATAAAAAATAAACATAAATACTATATATAAGTAGGATTGCAATTGAATTTAATAGTAAATGTGCTCAGGTTTTGAATGAAATCGGGCTATGACATGAACTGAAATTAATTTCATAGCCGTTCCAATGTTATATGATTTTAATATTATGCAATTATTTGTATTAAATGAATATTTATACCATTCATGAAATCATATACAAAGAAAAAAATTACGTTTGTTAACGAGAAATTTTCACTATTTTTGTATTTAATGATTCAGAATTCAAAAACTATAAGCCCGTATTTAGAGAAATCTTTTTATAGATGTAAAAAATTTGATTTTTATATAATTTCTATAAAATTGTAAATATAATTGAGATTTCTATTTAAAATTTAAATAAGTAGATAAAATAATAAATTGAACTAAATTTGTTTTTGTGCTTACGAGTATAACATAAAAGTACTCGTATAGCTAAAACGATTAATGTATATTTACAAGATTATCTTCTTCTAATTAAAATTCAAATACTAATTTTCGTTGAATCATTCTTAAAACAATAAAAAATCTTATACATATGTATAATATGTAAGAATGAGTGAATATAAATGAAATAAATAGATCTAATGCAATAATTAATACAAAAAAAATTATGCTGTAGTTAATGCAGTGCTGATACAATATTTATATATACCCTTATATCTTCCACATTGAAAAGATACCCATGAAAATCTCAAAACTTAAATATAAATTCACTGTACAAGACCTCGTGAAAAGGTTTTATTCCGATTGGGTGTAATCGTATATATTTCTAGGGGCAGTATTTAAAAGATTGGGTGTAACGGTTTTGTTATATACCTAGTTTATATTACTTTCCTATAATTTGTGCAATACTGAGTCGAGTATGTATTATAATATAATGTGTATATTATTACGTCTTCTTCCTATATATGTGATATTTGAATATAATTCAGGCAATGAATTCGGATGGATGTCGCACATTCATAATTTGATCATTCGTGACAGAAAATTCGATTTGCAATATTATAAAATTTTATATAAATACTTCCAGTACTAAGGCATTGAATTCAATTGAAATTGTAGATATGTATGTCATTTAACAGATTATATGTCAATATCCATATTAATTATTAGGACTTTGAAAATAATTTAACTGATTTTTATGTATTTAATTACAAATAAATATGTATTATAAATATATAATGCATTTAAATACTGTTAATATTTTTTTCTATACTTTATACATAATTACAATATGTGTAATGTTTAAATATTATAAAGGTAACACCAAGCACGCTATAATTTATTTTCTTCTTCTATTTTATTCATTTATTTCAAAAGATCAAACACAACGATAGCTCGTACAGCGTGTATATTTTCACATTTAGATAACGAAAATTTTTTGAAAATGTAAAATGAAATTTGTAATATGTAGCTTATTTAAAAAATAATAATTGAAATTAGGTCTTAAAAAAATTCTAAAATATAAGAAATAAAAGCCGATGATTTTCGTATAGAAAAACAAGGTATTACGAAAAATATAGTACAGTATACAATGATAATCAATAAAAATAATTAAAATACTAGATAATAATAGAGCGACAATAATAAAATAATGTACATAATATTACAAAAAAAAACTTTGCATCACAAATTCAAATAAGCTAGTCTTATTTTATGAAAAGAGAATTAATTCTGTATTAATAATAATATTTTTGAATTTTTCATTATCACCATTATCAAGAGTTTCCGATAATTTATTATAATGCCGAATCGCATGATAAAACACTAAGTTCCAATTTTCTATAGAAATTTTACATTTCTTGTTCTATATGTTTGGTGTAACATTCTTCCTTATGTTAATTTTGTGTTTTATAGTGTCCCTAATGAACTGTTTAGGCATTTTGTATTGTTTGGATGTTTTAATTAGTAAATAAGAATTCTATTGGTGTTCTTATGTCGAATAGATTTTGACTTTGATCAAATTCGCCGTAATAGTAAACCATACGTTATATTGGAATGAAAAAATTTATAGAAAATTGATAGTTTTAGTTTGTTTGGTATGCAAACCGCCGTTTTTCTGAAGATTCCAGCTATTCTTCGGTATTATTTTAATATTTTGTCAGCATATACTTATATTCCATCAGTTTGATTCATTATTAACCTTCAGTTCAAAGGCTTATTTCAAAATAGTTTCAGCTGTTCACTTATAATTAAAAAATATTTTTCTTCTGCCTCAGTTAAATTTAATGTACAGTGTTTCGTTACTATTATTTACTAATCAACTTACTATTATTGTATTTTCTCTTATGTACATTATGTAGGTACATAAATATTTTGGAATTTTGCGTGAAGTAACAAAGTATACATAAATAAATAATTGTTTTTGATATTTGTTTTAATTTTTTTAGTATATTGCTTTGTAAAAGCCTACTTAATTTTTTATGTTAATATTATGTTAACGTTTTCATATGCGGTTACGAAAATTATAACCAATATGTGTGTATATACTTATGTTCATATTGTCAATCAGCCAATATTTTAAATTGTATATGTATGTAGGTATGTATTTGTTTTGGGTTTAAAACAAAAATAACTACTTAAGGGAAAGTCTTTTTTTTTCATTAGCTTCTATTAACACATGTATACGATTATGAATTAATTTCCTTCTTTTGTTTTAATCAAGTTTTTAGTTTTAATTTTATTTATGGAATTTTTATTTTTAAATTCTGCAATATGTTTTAGTGTTAAGTTTTACTAAAATATTAACACTTCTTTGTTAGAGTACATACATACAAAATTATATATTAAAATTTTAATACATAACATTATATTTACTTTCCAGTGCAATCACTTCCGAAACTTTAATATTACGTAAAAAAAAACAAAAAAAATTTGTCACGATATAATAACGAGTATATATCGAATTATGTAAAGTGACGTTTGATATTACGATAAAAATGCACTTACTGTTATACGCACTTATATTATTTGTTGGTATACATTAATAATTTTTTTTTTGGATTTGTATCAAGACATAACTGTTTATTCAAATTAATGAAAATGTATGTATATATGTATATACATACATATTTATATTGTGTTGTACATAATGATGTAAGTGTGTGTATTTAGAAGTTTGTTTATGAAAATCAATGAATATCTTATAAAAGTGTAGTTATCAGCCTTCTAGCGGACGAATATTATACATGTATGTATGTGTATATCTTTCGGCGTACTCCAGCGGATTTACCGCAGAGTTGCTGGGGATGAGCAATAGGCGGGTTCGCACTATTGCGAATTTCTTCACGCTGTACTGCCCAGTGAAGTACCACCTGCATAGGCTGGGGAAGTCGGGTTCCCCCCTGTGCAGATTTTGTGGGGGTGGCGATGAGACCGCCGTGCACATTCTCTGCGACTGTCCGGCACTGGCTGTTCTGCGCCGCAATTGTCTTGGACATGGGTCCGTAAGTGTTCGGGAACTGTTGTCCAACTCCCTTAGGGATATCTCCGGCTTTGTGATTGGGACGGGGATATTATAGACGGGAGAGTGGGGTGGCTACAATAAGTCAAAAATGGCTGCGGTGGCTTGGGGGGTTACTCCTGTCCCACTCGGTTCCCTTAGAATCTACGAATCTTAGAATCTACGAATGTGTATAAAAGGTGTAGGTGCTATTGTGCGTATTCAGTTTTTTATTAAATAGTCTGGCAGTAATTGACCAATAAATTATGTCAAAGTTCTTGTTCAGATTAATTTCAAATTAATTATGTTAATTGACTGACACTTATTCAAATGCATATCTAAGAATAAAACGAGAGATTTGAAACTTAGTATTGTAGGTATAAGAACTTAATTTTATACTGCAAGTAAATCAGTATTGCAAATGGGTAAAATCAGCTTACAAAAACAAGTAACACCGTTAGAAAAATTTAAGAGGCTTGCAATTAAAGTCCGAACAGTAAGTTCAGCAAATGTAGTCCGCCCATTGTTGACTGGGACCGAATACGATATATTGTTTGAAAACATGGAAAAGCTTTTGGGGTTTCACTCGTTAAGTTTTTTTATAAATTGAATCTTTGTCATTCTAGGTTCAAAAGAAGATCGTCGATAAGCTTTAAAATAAGTCCATGATATGTCAAGTTCTCGCAGAAGTCTTGAACTATATATATAATGTATCTTTTAAGTAATTTATCACAATAAACAAAGATTATTGTTATTTTTATTTTATAACATTTTTCTTTTTTTTTTTTTTTGCAGGATTTCTTGGTAAAGTTCTGATTGAAAAATTATTGCGTTCATGTGGTGATCTAAATAGAATATTTGTATTGGTACGGGCCAAAAAGAATAAAGCAGCACAATGTCGTTTAAATGAAACACTCTCAACAAATTTATTTGATATTTTACGCAATAAATATCCTGATAGATTGAAGAAAGTGATAGCAGTTAATGGTGATGTGGCATCAGATGATCTTGGATTAAATGAAAGTGATTTAATGTTAATGTCAAATGTTTCAATAATTTTTCATTCTGCCGCAACTGTTAGGTAATTTTTATTTTTTTATAATTATAAATGAAAAATTCATGCGTTCACAAAAACTCTTTCATACATATTATTCTTTTACAGATTTAACGAAACTATGAGACAATCGATTTTAATCAATACAAAAGGAACCCATGAAGTTATGAAATTTGCCCAAAAATTATCATATGTTAAAGCAATAGTACATGTATCGACCACATATTGCAATTTGGACAGATTGTATTTAGAAGAAAAGGTATAAATTTCAAAGCTTTTAATACTATTTAGAGTTTGATATGCTCAAACGCACATACTTTAAAAACTATTTAATTTATTGATATGAAATTTCTATACAAATTTGTAGGTTTATTCACCATATGCTGATTGGAAAGATATGATTAAAGCTGCTTTAGATAACGACGAAAAAGCCCTAAAAAATTTGTTTTCAAGGTGAATATAAAATTTTTTGCAACAAAGTTAATTACAGGTTGACCCTTGATAAGAGTAATTCCATCGCACCGATATTTTGGCAGAGGTTTCTACCTTATAAAGTGTTACTGGTTCTGTCGGTGTATTTTACATTTAACTTTTTATCTCCAATACTGTAAGAAATTCTTTTTTTTTTTAATGAAATTGTTTATTATTCTCACTAAAAACGGTTTCTATCCTTATCCATGGTCCATTCTAAATAATACAATACAAATTTCTAAAATTAATTTTAAGCCAAAAAAAAATGAATTGTTTGAATTTTAATTTGCATATGTTTGATTTCGTTTTTAGCAACACAAAATATAAACATAATACATATACAATAAGTAAACATTTAGCCGAACAATGTGCCAATGATTATAAAGATATATTACCAGTTTTGATATTTAGACCAGCAATTGTAATACCAGTTTTAACAGATCCATTACCTGGTTGGGTTGATAATTGGAATGGACCAATTGGTATATGGTAATTATATTGAATTTTTAATGCAATTCTATGACAACAATTTTATTTTATTATCTATTTTAAATATTTTTAATTTATTTATTTTCTCTTCAGTGCTGGAATCGGTTCTGGAATCGTTCGTACATTTTATGCAGATCCATCTATTTATTCTGAATACACACCAGTCGATAGTTCAGCACGGTGTATGATTGTAGCAGCTTATGCTATGGGTACTAATCAAGCAAGGTAAAGTTCAACATTTGGAAAAAAATTGGGCGTTAATTTTATATGTTCTTTTAATATATGTATTTCAAAATATCCAAGTGCCCTTGTACAGCAGCATTGATAATAATGATGATTTTTTTTTTTTAAATATTTAAAGAGTATCTGATGACATTCCAGTATATAACTGTTCTAGACCATATAAAAATTATCAGGTTACATCAGTTGGACTCGAGGTACTTAAAGAAAATCCAATGGAAAAAACATTATGGGCACCAGATAATACAATGACATCATCTCCATTTTATTTTCATCTTAGGGTAAATATTTTGAACTTTAATAGTAAATTTATTAATTTAAGTAATTGTTTTAAAAAATTTTTATTTCAGTTCTTTTTATTTCAAATGATACCAGCAATAATTGTTGATATAATGTTATTAACATTTAGACAAAAGCCATTGTAAGTTGAATAATTATTTTAATTAAACTATGTTGATTGATACTAAAATTTTGATAATTTTGTCCTATAGCTTATATAAATTACAAAAAAGAGTTTACAAATCATTTAGTTTTATGGCACCATTTCTTCAAACACAATGGAATGTTAGTTCTGATAATGTAAGACATTTGGATTCATTGATACCTAGAAAGGAAATGTAAGCTTAATTTTGTTTTTTAAATTTTATTCACCATTCTAAATCATATTCACCACACTCATTTATTATCACCATATTAATTTGTATTCATCATATTTATTTGTATTCAATGCTTTATGATAAATAATTTATATTCACCATACTAAATTATATTCACCACACTAATTAAAATTCACCATTTTGTTTTTAATTAATATTTTTAGTGATGAATTCGGATGTTACGATCATATGATATTTGATTTACATAGTTATATGAAGAATTGTATAACTGGAGTAAAAGTGAATTTATTAAAGGAACCCGAAAAATGTTCAAAGAAAGGATTATTAAAATATCAAACTTTGGTGTTTGCTGATCGACTTATTAGAATATTATTTTATACTGGTATAGCATATGTACTTTTTCGTTGTATAGCTGGTCTAGTATTTTAAATAAGAAAAAATTAAATTAGGTTCTTTCTTTTTTTTTTAATAATTTAATAACTATTATATATTTTATGATTTTATTAATATATAAGAGAGAAAAAAAAGTAAAAAAAAAAAAAATAAATAAATAATTTTTTAATTTTTTTTTTTTTGAACTTCAAATTTAATTGTGGGTAATTGTGTAAATATTTATACGTACATTTAGTAATTATTTATAGTTCAGAATCAGAGAAGATATTTAAGAAAAAAAAAAAAAATAATAAAAAGAGGTTAAAATAAAGTAAATAAATACAAATTTTATCATAAGAATTTTAAAATTATTTTAATTTTAAATTTCATATAAATAATTGTGAATTTTTAATTGCCGATTTATTGTTATGCATTGTCATAAAAACTAAGAACTTTTCAAATTGTCTGTCAGGTACATGAGTACAAAGACAATAAGAAAACAGATATTCCGCTCAATTAGGAACACTCCAGACCTTTGAAATCATGACCATACATTTTCGTTTTAAGATTGTGAAAAAAAAACTTATTTTCATATATTTACCTAAGTAGAGAGCTAAAATACATGCTATTTAAAAAATGAAACGCAATATGGATTGAAGACGTCGAAACGAACTTCCATTACAACATTGTTTTATAATCACTGAAATAGACCGTTATTTGGAGCTGCTTTTCTCTTTCTATATTCAAAATTGAGTTTGATGAGGTACGATACAAGGTTTGTAAAAAAAAATGTTCAGAGTGAATTTGTTGGGAGTTGACTCAAATTAATATTGAGGACAATATAAATAGAGATATAATATAGAGATACATTTAAAATAATATTTTGCCGACAAAAAATGTCAATTGAATTTTATCCAAGACAAGTCGCTTTTAATTGGTTATCTACCCTGATAGTAAATTTTTGGAAATAACGTAAACTAATGAAAAATGTTCAATATTCTTAAATGTTTAAATTTTTTTAAGAAAGAAAACACCACAACCCACTTATCATAATATAAACTTCTTACAATACATAGGATATAGAATATTGAGCTTAAATTACATGGATTATTATTTTGTTGGAATTACTTTCAAAACTTCTTTTAATTTTGTTATATTGAAATTATATATGTATACATTTCCTGTACAATTTTCACTCTATAAATAATCTGAGCATATACATAAGTTTTACGTAAGCACTTAATTTACTTTCTTTATATAATATTTTAATCATATATACATAGATATATATTCTAAAAATATTATTATATTGATATCCTTTTCAAAGATTTAATATATAAGAAATGAATACTCGTATAAGATATTGTATATATACAACTAAGATAAATTTATGATTTACATTTTAATTAACATTATAATAAAGTATCACTGCTTCCCTATATCTATATATACTTATTATAATATTTACATTATTATATACCTACGTATATATATATATATTGTTTATAATCAACCAAATTTTTTTATTTTCATTGAAAGCATTTTCATGAAGTGATAACATTTTCAACAGTATTATATTACTTTATATAAAAAAAAATGTTTTTTTTTTTTTTTAAGTATAACAGATTAATCGCGTTAAAAAAGTTTTCCACCTTTACACTTTACATTTAAATATATTCAAATAATTGTATATATTTATATATATACATAAATATTACTATATATAATATGTATGTACAAGGTGTTTCACGTAATTTGGCAAATAATTTCAGAGAAGATTTTTCGATAAATTTCCAGAAAATATTCAAAATAATTGTATACGAATGGCAATGAAGATTAATATATTTTCGAGCTACAGCCTGTTGGCAACAAAAAAAAAAGTATCAGCTTTTCCTATACATAAGTAAATACTTATAACTTCGTAAGCCCCAATTTTGGGTGAAATTATTCGATGAAATTCAATAACACAAATTCTCGAGAAATTGCGAAAACAAAAATTCTGATTTTGACCAGCTTTATCTCGAAAACTATTATGGCTCCAATGAAATTGATTGTAATACCAAAAATAAAAAGCAATCAATTACCTGTAAAACAAACCCTCCGATAGCTACTCCAAGTCATATTTATTCCGAAGTTGTAAGCATTTATTGAAATACAGGAAAAATCTGGTATCATTTTCTTTCAACAAGCTGTAGCTCGAAAAAGAATATATCTGCCTCCTTCCCTCCCCACAATTTTTTTTTTTTGGAAATTAATCAGAGAATAATCCTGCGACCTTATGCGATATACTCTGTATAAAAGTTTTTAAGTAAATATTTTTAAGTGATTGTACCTTTGTGTATATATCAAATACCGCATCCAGCACAGCAGTAAGTATTATAAAAGTATATGTAGGTACAACGATAGTGAAATTTAATTTAAGAAATTTGCATAATATATCAATATTTTATTTAAATTTAAAATTTTTAAAATGAAAATTTTCACTTATACATATTTTATAATAATAATAATAATAATATAAACGTAAATGGTGTTTAAAAGAAAATGAGAAAATATTTTTTTTTTTCTATTCTTCTGTTTTTATAAATGGAAAGAATAGATTACGCTCAATAATCGTCATTAAGAATTAGAGTTTTCTTTGTCTCTCTCCCGCTCACTCCCGTTCTCTTTCTCTTTATCCATTTTAATAATTCCAGATTTGCGTTTAAGAAAAAAATTTATGTGATTTCTACAATTTTCTAATCCTTGTTTATTTGTATTTGTTTTCCTCTTTTTTTCTTTCCCGTTTTTGTTTTTGAAATTGCGAATAACAATGTTTTGAAGTAAGAATAAAAGCGTTACAGTTTTTAAGAATGGTTTTTAATAAAAAGTAAAATTAAAATTTTTAACTCAAAAAAAAAGAAACTCTTTGATTACAATGCTTTAGAGTGTGTGTGTGCATAACAAAGGCAGACGATATTATGCAAGGAATAAGATTTAATATTTTCATTTCAACATTTCAAATCTAGAATGAAAAACAATGTAAGAAATTGAAAATTTTCACCTTTTTGTATATGAAATGCAAATTCTTATATAACAATATTGAGATCGTAAAGTGTTAAATTTGAAGTTTATGTATAAATGTTTGAATTTTCAAAAATATGATTTACATACACACATATATGTTAACAATAATTATTATAAAAGTAAAATTTTCATTGAAGATTTTGTAGTTTTATTCCGAACATCAGTGAAGTATTATGCGTTGCTGTAACAGGAAATATATATATAGTAGTGATTAGCGAATAAATATATTACTTTCCAATTTAAATCGTTTATATGAAAATCAATCGACATTCATATATCATTTGCTATATCAACAACTTCTTAAATCTAATCCTGGATGAGGAACGATTTTTATTTGTGAATAATTTTTGCTATTATTTATTCCGGTACTCATTGTAAAAATTTTGAAGGAAGACACAAATGACATTTTGTATGACGAGAAAACACAGCAGACTGGTCACTGCCTACATAATTAATTCTGCAATAGCCTGTAAAACTGATGTTAGACTTTTGAAGTCAAGTGGAACGTGCCATTATGCTCCCAAGTACAGTAAGGAAAAAAAAACTTTCCGAACAGCAAAATAAAGGTAAGAGAAATTAAACATCTTGTATACATATTTAATTAATAATGTATAGGAATTCTAATAAAACATAAAAAATTGAATATGCACACATTCTTACCTGAAGAATATAAATTTTTACAAAATAAATTTAAAATTTGCAATTTATTTTACGAAAAAAAAAAATTTGAATTTTCGTTTTGTAAAATTTTCTACCAATTAAAAAACTTTCATAATCCCTTTCAAATTGCATTATTACTGAATTTATAAATTCAAAAGCAAATGAAGCCGATGACACACAACAATATTAGTGAGTTTGTGGTATCCCTATAAGCATTTAACAAGGCACAAAAAAAAACCAAAAATGGAGAAGAAAGCTTTGATTATTTTTATATTGTAAATTTTTTTTTCATTTTAAGCTCTTCTATTATCCTTTTTTGTAAAATCAAAAAGAATTAGATGCAAAAAAAAAATAAACAAAATTGACATTAAAATATTTCAAATTGGTGTTACACAAAAGAGGGTTTACACTTCACATATTTTATGTCAGTTTCCATATGAGAGCTTGTAAAATATATTTTATAAAAAAAAGAAATTTTTAAAAAAGCGCTTATTAGATTCACTCTGTCCATCCGTTCATCTTTGGAAATATTTACAAAACTTCTACATCCTTGAACATACATCGTTTACAAGAAACTTTTTTCCGTAAAAAAAAAATTTTACGTATCTCCCTGCCCCGTTTCCCAATCCTTTAAACTTATATCTCCTAAAACTCTAAACATGCCATTTTTTTTTAATATTTATCGTAGCGAAACCATAAGCATTTTCAAATTTTGCAAACACAAATATGTAAGTAGTACTAGGATTCTTCTTCTACCGTAACATATCATATTTGAACTTTAAAAAAACAAAATGGCCGTTAATATTTACCGTTATCTAAAATCCATTTTATGCACATATTTAATATCGTTTTTCTTCTAGACCCCAGGTTGTAGGAATCTGTAAAATAATTCATTTCGTTAGAAATAAATTTTTTTCATTCTACCCCCACCTTTAATTTTTGGCGTCATATATTCTCGAAACTGCAAGTGCTCTCAAATTTCAATAAACGCAGAAAGCTAATTGTAAATGTTATGCCATTAAACTATTTTTCTTAACTCACACATTTTGTTACTCTACTACTCGTATACTATTCGAGCATCTTTAAATTTTTTTTTCTTTCCTCATCCTAAATATATGCAATCTTTTAAATATTTTGATATATAAATAACAGTAATTTTATTAATGTAGTGAATAGATTATTTTTGACAGCAGTATTTTCTCTTATTAAAGAGAAAAGTGCTACATTACGAAACATTGGTTTGACCCAACTTTATTTATGTAAAAATTTACAAAAAAAAAAATTAAGTATCTTACAATAGCTATAGTAAAAATATGATTATTTTATAGTTTGCTTGTTTTCTTTTTTTTTTATTGTTTTTCTTTAAAATAACTTTGAAATTAATTCCTCAGATGTGCTGTCACATAAATGACAGATGTAACATTTTAAGAATCTTTCATAAAAAATTTTTTTTTTAATTGTTACAATTTCGAGTCCAACTGTGCACACATCGCACATAAAATAAAAAAAAAAGTATGTACTTGTGTGAGTGTATACGCTATAAAGAAATTTTTTTTTTTAAAATAAATTTTCTGGACAAAAACATTTAAACTTTCACTTTTTTTATTTTCATTCTAAAGTGGAAAACTTAAAGGGACACAAG